GAAGGAAGGAAGGAAAGTCCATTCCATTCTTCCTTCTGCTGAGTTTTTCTCTCTTCACCTCCCGCCCCCCCCAAGCCTTTCCACTCTGTTCCATCCTCCTTTCCCACTAAGTTGGTAGGGGTTTCCCCCCTCACAATCTGTCAGTATGAAGTATAAAGGGCTGACCTGCAGCAGAAGCCTATAATTAGAGTGGAGAACACATTCAAATTGGAAAAAGGTGACTGGACAACCTTTCAGGTTTCTGAAATCAGAAGTCAAGTGAGTCCTGTATTTAAGATTTGAAGCCAATCACCAAGCAATGTAAGCTATATTGAGATATCTATTGTTGTCACACTTCAGGCTAATATCACCAAGCAATGTAAGCTATATTGAGATACTTTTATGCGGTTTGATATCTATTGCTGTCACACTTCAGGCTAATGCCTCAGATTTAGAGTCTTCCTCTTGGAACGTTAGTTTAACTACAGATCCTGCAGCTTCAATACCTAGCCACAGTAATTTTCGGATTTTTCTGTTTCTCTTTCTGTACCAATCCCTGTCATGCCCAGCCTGATGAAAAGTACTGGCTGACTTGGGATATCAGCTGCTCCTGCGTTCGGCTTTTTGAAAAAATGTCATAAGTTTTCCAACATTGCCCCAAAATGAAAAGTAGAAATACATTAAAATCAGAATTCATTGCAGTAAAAACCAAGGTTTAAGAATGGTGAGTTTTACAACAAGGAGGTAAGAGCGGAGTAAAGCAGGTGGGGAGAAAGCAGAGGAGATAGGCATCCCCATCTGTGTTGAGAGTAGGATGGCAGGGAGCAGATCTAGATGTGTATGAATAGGCAGTGCCAGAATAACACAATGCATCTCACTATGCCCCAGTAAATCCAGCAACATACACCCTCCCCACGTAGGGATGCTAATACTGGAGTATCTAATCCAGTAGTTCCCAACCTTTGGCCCCCATATGTTCTTGGTCTACAACTCCTAGAAATCTTGGCCAGCACAGTCAGTGGTGAAGGCTCCTAAGAATTTTAGTCCAAAAAGATCTGGGGACCCAAGTTTGGGAACCACTGATCTAATCAAATCTGTGCAACAAAAAATGCCAGAACAACTTACAGCAACCCCAGAACAAGAGGGGACAGTTACCACAGTGTGGACAAACCCTGTGTCTGATGTACAAATATGCCCTAAAAGAGAGGGAGGGTTTGTAAATAGTCTGATCAGTTGACTTCATGAGCTCACCTGGTCTCCAGGACATCCTCAATGTTCATGCGTATTGTATATGGAAAAAGACAATTTGATTGTACTAGTCAGACTCAGCTGGTATATTTTTACCAACCCTGGACATTCTTGATCCAGAATTTTGACATGTAGTGAGGGAGGGGGAGGAGACTGCAACCTTTGAAGCTCAAGAAAGAAAGCTGAATTTGCTGTTTTTGCAACAAAATGCAGAGACTGGAGTAGAGATCAGCCATATTACTCACGGCTGCAGTCTCTCATACTGCAGGTTTGTTGAAAACAAAGCTCTTTGTGCCATTATAAAGAACTTGGAAACCACAACTCTGATTCATCCCCTTTCATGAGCAAAAGCACACAACACGCCCTGTTCACAGCAAGCTAACGATCCTCAATGAGCAAAAGCACACAACACGCCCTGTTCGCCCTGTTCGCAGCAAGCTAACGATCCTCGGAGCAGCTGGCAGGAGCTGCTGCAAGGATTACAATGGTGCTTGCCCTCCAGATTTTCAGAAGGGGTGGCCAGGCTCCACCCTCCTTTATTCTTTTCCTTCTTTTCCTCTCCACCTCCCTTCCTATTCAGATCACAGGCTCTGCCATGCAATAGGCAATTCCAGAAAGCAGTGCTGAGCAGTCTGCAGTTTTCACTCTTCATGATACTCAACATTCCCACTGAACTCAATGAGATCTTCATCCAGAGTTCTATAAACTTGTTTTTTGAACTACACTCTCCAAGTCCCCAGCCAGCATGACAGCTATATGTTTTTTGAACTACACTCTCCAAGTCCCCTAGCCAGCATGACAGCTATACTGCCTGAAGGATTCTGGGAGCTGTAGTCCAAAAAGACAAGTTTACTTCCCCCCCCCAGCTCTAAAAAGGGTCAGATCATAGAATCATAAATAGGGGAGTTGGAAGGGGCTCTCTGAGGCCATAAGGTCCAGCCCCCTGCTCCATACCAGATGGAAAAGCATCTCACTTGGGAATCTGGACAGGGGCTACCAATTAAATCAGACAACAATGGGTTGGATCGGTAAACTGCCTACTACGGTTTTCTTTCTATGTCCTTAAATTGAGCAGATATGATGTTGGAGTGGTTACTGTTTTGGACTCCACAATTTGCAGAACTTCCTCAGCCAACATGACCATTATTGGCCACACTGGTTGGTGGAATTTGAGTGTTGAAACCCCAGAAAATAAATCTTTCCAACTGCTGCAATGGTCTCTTGTATGCCTTGCATTTATTCCTTGCGTCTGTTTTTTATAAGCTTAGCAGCAGGGCATGATGGTAATCTCATCAATATCTTGCATTGAGTAACCTTGTTTGGTCATTTGGGATTGTGTGTGTGCGCGCGTGCTTTTTTTTTTAAGCAGGAGAACAGCAGTAACAAAGCACAAATAATTATCATCAGTGAAAGAGACAAGAAAAACTTCAGATATATAAGACTTAAACTTATGTTACCTGAAGCATCAAAGTGGCCTGGGGTCACTTGAATTTTCCAAAACAAGGAAATCCATCACAGGAAGCCTGCAGATGGAAGATGGCAGCAGTTGTCTGGATGCTCTGTAAAACTTTCTGATGGTACCAGGCAGCTGCACAATACAAGCCTGGTCAGGTTGTGGCTTCAGCACATATATCTGGTGCATACACTCATGTAGTTCTGTTGCAGAGGTCCATGTATGGAACTAATGAACACATGTAGGTTTCCATGGAATAATCACGCAAGTACTGCAACAGAGGAGGTGTGCGCTCCTCTCAATAAATTGCACTCTTGATGAAGAGTTCTGTGTTACTTAGAAGCTTGTTTTTGCCTCACTTAATCTCTCTCTATATATCATGTTTTGTGATTTGGAGAGCCATCCACCAGATTCAAACAGCTCTGAATCACGAAAGAATGTATTCATTGTAAGAAAAAGAAGTGTGTCTGTTTCCCACACAATCCCCTAGTTTATCAGCTCAACGCTGCTGGTCTTTGCAGATCAAGACTCTGTAGACTAGCCCTATCCAGTGTGTTGTGTCTTTTTGAGCATTTTATCCACAAACAGAAGAACTGTTATGGAAACAAGACCTTGTGTTTTGCTGAAGGCGAAAACAGAAAGCAGAGTGCCGCTCATGACACAATGATGCCATCTTCTGGGTAAAAGGAGAAAACACATTACCATTGCTACATGGGCCAGATGGGGAAATAAAGGAGGGGGACCCATCATCCTGTAGCTGTGCCATCAGCACTCCCGTTTTCTGAAGCAGAATATCTCACAACAACTTGAGGAGGCACCAAAATAATATTGTAGGTAACACCAAGTAACACAACTGTATTTAATCTAGGCAAGGCCTTTCCTGCAGCACTATTTGAATATTGAAAGTAAATGCAGAATTTGACCAGAGGAAAAAAGATAGATTTTTATTTTTATTTTTTTTTTGGTTTTAAGCATTAGTTCTTGGAGTTGTGAACCATTCTGAAGAGTCTAAACGGATATCTCAAGGCTAAACGTTAGCTTTTCACAAATATTATTGACTGACTGAGTGCCACAGGCATCAATTGAACAGCACTTGTGACGCGGCAAATTGGCTTATGTGAAAGGCAA